AAAAAAAAAAAAAAAAAAAAAAAAATCACAAGCTAAAAACTGCCAATTGCAGATGATCTCAAGGTGAGTTCCTCTTTCCCTCCACTCTTGGCCCCATCCTAAGTCACCTCCAGCCTTGCTGCAGAGTAGCCAATAGGTGCTCCTGAACAGTGCTGGCTCTCCCGGGTTGGCCACACTTCTCACAAATATTCCCATCCTTGTTCCATCAAGATACTCCCTGTGAAAAGACCCATTTTGCCCCTAAATGCTACACTGAGGTACTCCGGAGTTCCTGGGGGACATCTTCCTGACTGGGGGGGGAGTGGGGGGGGTGGGATCATCCTGTACAGCAAAGAGAGGGTTACTGGACTCCCAAGAGCTGAGTTTCAGGGTAAGGGACAGGCCGAGCCTTCCCGCTTGGCCTCCTGATTTGGAAAATCATCACTTTTATTTTTCACAAAGACGGCAAGACCCCCAAGGAGGTGGGTTAACAGGAGCCCCCCAAGCCCAACACCTGTCAGCCTAAGCACAGGGTTCCCAGGCCCCAGGTACACGTCAGGTGCTTCCAGGGATAGGAGCATCTATCCTTTCCATGCCCTTTGCCCTGCATCCCCAGTCTGGTTTCTCTCAAGCTCCTTTCCTAGAGCTCCCAGAGCATGTTCGAGGACCACCTCTGGCTCCCACCCCCAGGTCTCCACAGCTCTTATCAGATTACAGCCCACCACTGGAGATGATCCTCTAGGGGGCCGATGCCTACCCACCCCCTTTGGGTCCAAGAAGCTTGGATATCTGTCTCATCTAAAGTGTGCTGCAGGCTCTGTTGGCCTGATTTCATTTTTCAAAGGTCCATTTCATATTTGGAACAGAGTGTAAGTTATCACAGGAGCTTCATGCTGACACCACAGGAAAGACAGTGAGTGAGGGCACCGCGCTGGCTGACACACTTCACCCAAACTGGAGCCTGGCTAGAAGCTGGGGGGTGCAAAGAACAGGCTGCAACAGGAGAAGACAGTGGAGGAGATTCAAAGAAAGGATGGAACAAGGGAGGCTCTATGACAGTTTTCTGCTGTCCAAGACACGATTCTGAGTCAGCATGGCCTATGAACCTTCTTGGGGCAGGTCCTGCCAGATCCCCATACACAGGGACGTTGGGCCTAAAACCATAAAAGGACAGAGGGCAAGCCAAGCCCATTTGTTATTCCTTGCCCTCCGTAAAAGGGTTCGGGGCCTTGGTCTTCCCAGCGGTCACCTAGAGCATGGCTAGGGAGGGCCTCGAAGATTTCCCGCCCTACTGGTTTGTTGCACAACCGGAGAGAGGGCCGTGCACGCTTCCCAGTCAAGTGCTGGAGGGCCCAGAAATCCCCTCACACACTCAGTCCCCTGAATAAAATGTCCCCCAACAGGCACAGTCTTAGCAGGTAAAAGGGGCTGGTTTAGTCTCTATCCAAAGTCTCCGTTCAAAGTTACCTAGCATGCCGACAGCTTGAGGCAGGTTGCAGATATACAAAATAGGTGCCCTCCTTCGACTAAAGGTGGCACTAGGAAAATTCTCATCAGATACTGAGTATCTCTAAGTTAGAACAACCATGAAAACCACACAAAGAGGGTGGGCCACTTGTAGCCCAACGTAGCTAATGGTCGCAAGCAATTATATGAATAAAAAGAAACTATGAATAAAAAGGAAAAAAAAACTTACCTCATCTACAGACACAGGCAGGATGACTCGGCTACAAGAGAGGGAAAACAGTATCAACTTCAGGCCTGAATGCTACCCAAGGCCATTACAGCACCACTGTAGAACAGTCTTAAATGTTCTGTTGCACATAGCATATGCTCACTGCCGAAAACCCAGCAGAGAATGGCCCCCTGAGTGCTATGAGGCAGGATCGTCTGTGCCCTTCAGCCCCAACTTAGAACCTGTGATTCAGTGCAAGCCTGTCCCCCTACGGGCTACTTCGCAGGCCTCTGACTCACATTTGGAGCTGTCTTCTTCTCCCTCTCCCCCACTGATATCTTTCCCAGCAAAACGAGGACCCCCCCCCCCCCCAGCAAACTCTGAAGCCAAGATGAGGAGTCAGACCTGAAGACTCGGGCCCTGGGGATTTCATCTCTACGGGCCCAATGTCCTGACGATGGCCCTCAAGGTAGGAAGCTAGGAAGGGACCAAGCTCCTTCAAAGCTTAATCACCCCAAGAGCACACACCAACCATCTCTGCTCTGAGGCAGGATATTGCAATACAAGCTACTATCACAAAGTCACCAAGAGAGGACACTCGACTTGTGTCTTCAACTCCAGAAGCTGTCCAAAGGCACCCCAATTGACAGTTTCCTTTTACTTCTTCTCCATCTTAACGACCACTGATTGTGGGAGGTGCCAACAAGCCATGACCAACAAGTCATGCCCAGCCAGGTCGCACGCCCGTCAGCATTCCACAGAGGTGCGAGGGCTAGTGGCAGAGCAACAGCCAAGACCCAGCTGAAAGCCGCGCGGTCAGAAAGGTGAGACCAAAACACTTGGTTGTATTCATACAGACGAGGCCCGCTCCCGAGCTCAGGTTCTCAGTGCCCAGACCCCAGCTGGAACGCCCTGGAGCCTCCTGCACCTCGCACGCTTGGCGAAGCGTGAGCTGCTATGTTCTCCTTCCTAGGCAGTGCTTCTGACAACTGGGATCTGTGCTCCAGGCTGCTAAACAGTCCGCTCACTATTTTCCAAATCCACAAAGGTCCCCCAGGTAGCAAGAAACACACAGGGGTCCGAGAAAAACATCACACTGAAGGCAAGGTGTGGGGCAGAAAAGGAGCAGGAAAAACAAAAGGGGCTTCAAGTGCTTACTGCCTGCTAACCCCCTCCTCCAGAATGACTCAAATAACACAAATCCCGCAGGTTACTGGATGCTGCCGCGAATGCCCTTCCTCCCATTAGAGAAAGCCGACAGCGCAGAAAAATACTTCCAACGTGGAGGCCACAATTTCTGCACCCTCAGAAGAAACTTCCTAGAAAACAATACGCCTTTTATCTGCAAGAACAGCAGTAAGAATCACATCCAAGAATTTGCAGAAATCAAATCCAGGAGAATCCTGTTAGAGGAAGTGTCAGAAAAATCACCAGGGAAACCGCCAGACCCTGGGTAGGCACCAAGTCTCCCCCAGCTCCTGATGGGATGCTCTGAGGCTGCCTTACGTGACAGCCGCACACCCGGACGTCTCTCCCTGGCTCCTCAGGAGCAAAACCACTTTAGCAGCAATTGGGTGCAATTCCAAAGGATAGGGCCACAGGGGCAGTGCTGGGCTGAGACTGGAGCTGTGCTCACTTCAGTGTGACCTTCACTTCCACCCTTCCCAGGGCTGCAGCACTGCAGCCACGGCCAAGTGTCTCGGATGCCCCCCTCCTCGGCCCCTGCCCCAGGACGCACACACTCGCCGGAGCACACGCGGGGCACAAGTCAGGCAGGAAGGAAACGCAGATGCCAGGCAGGCTCTGCAGCCCCGGCACCTTGGACCTTTCCCTGATAGGCTTCAAGGGTAGAAGAACAAAGACTGGGGAGGAAGGCCCTTTCTTCAAAACTCACTCAGATCTCTTCTGAAGGTCCCTTCCCTGCCTGACCTTCTTCACAAAACTACAGGTTTCTACAGACTCTGGAATTCACTTGGGAAGAGATAAAAAAGATCAGGAGAGTGGGATGGGATGGGAAAAGCCTGTTTTCTGGACGGTCGAGGTTAAAAGCCAAAGTGCACCATGCTCTGCTCCCATTGGTATCCCAAGGTTCTTCCTCCTCACCATACCAAGCTCCAAGCTCTGGCTGGATCAACATCAGACTGGATGTCAAGAACCAGAGGTGGAGGGGCTCCAAAAAATGCTGTTCAGATGAGGTGTCCAGCTGGGACGACAGCTTGGGTCTCTGCTCCCTTTGTTATCCAAAGCGCCACACTATGTCCTAAATGTCCTAAACACCTCCAAGGAGCAAGCCATATGGGATGGGGCAAAGTGCTTTCAATGACAGAATGGAAACAGCCCTCCGCACACCTGCCTGGCTACCAAGTGAGTTCCACCAGTTGCTCTCTATGGGGACATCTCCCCCTTCTGGATTTCCTGGGCTTCTGACCCAATGCTGCCCACCCACCCTCTTCTCCAGGGAAGCACAGTTTCACTGTAAATTCTGCACACACGCATTCAATCTCTCCTCTTTGGGGGCAGGGAGGAAGTCCTGAAATGTTTACTTGGAACCATGAGCTTCAGTGATGGGTCATCTAGTGTTTGAAAGATTTAGCCATCTACACATCCCCACCTGTCATCCAATCCCCTGGATTTCAGGAGCAAGCCTTCTGCCTGCAACACCTACCAGAAGTCACTAGTTTTCCACCCCAGTCACTAGTCGAGAACTCCCTCACCCTTCACTGTCTTTCCTCAGGTAATGGCTTTATGGGAACCTCCTTAATTTCTCAAAGCAATTTCCCTCTTTGCACCAAGACTGAGATTGCCCTAGAGACAGGCTGCCCCTGCCCCCTAACCCCTACTGCAATACGTTTATTTATTACATACATTCACAAACCTACTCCCTCTCCAAACTGTCCTCTACCCTGGTAACATCCCAGCCCTCTCCAGCACTATAACTCCCACAAACCAGCTCCTCCCCAATATTTTCTGGATGCCTTCCCCAAGTGTCCCCCAAGTCCCAAGCAAACATCCTAAGCTTCTTTCCAAGTACCTCCTCCCCTGCACCTACCACTTAGGCACCATGTCACGCCACCAGTGCCCTCTGCAATCTTCTTAGACCCTTCCTCTGTCACCCAAGCCTGGCCCTAACTCCCTGCACCTTTCCCTGTGTGCACTTCCTTACAATCCTCCCCATGCCTAAGGCGGCCACTCCTCACACTCCAGGTCCCCCTCACGCTCCTCTCCACCATCTCAGCTCCATTCCTGAAGCTGTCTTAACTGTTCCTCAGCCCCTGAAGCCGACTCCTCCTCCCGCCAGTCCCCGCGGCCACTCCTGTAGTTCTGGCGGGCCCCTTCGTCCCTCTGCCCCCACTGTAGGGCCACCACGCATCTCCATCCCCTCAAGCCCCTCCTCATGCCCTGCTGGCTCTCACTGTCCCCTTGACCCCATCTCTGGCCCTGTCCAGCCCTCATTGTCCCTTTGGCCTCTTCTCTCAGGCCTATTCGGCCCTCACTGTCCCTCAGGCCCCACCTCAGGAGCTGTCCGTATCTCTCTATCCCCGTTGGCCCCACCTCAGGCCCTTTCCGGCCCTCACGGTCCCCTCAGCCCCTGCTGGGCCGCCCAACAGCCCATCCATTGCTCCCCATTCCCGTCCGGTCGCTGCATCCACTCCGCCAAGCCATCAGGCTCCCTGGTCGTCATCCCCGACTTTCCCTTCCTCCCCGCTTCCGCACGGCGCGCCGGACACTCACTACTCCTTGAGCAGCACCATGTCGCTCCGCAGCTCGGCGGCTGCCCGCTGCCCGCCCGGCCTCCCGCCCGCTTCCCGGCGGCCGCTCTCCCCGTGGCCCGGCCCGGCCCTGCTGCCTGCGCGCCTTCGTCGTGGTCTGCTCCGTCCCCGCCGCTCTCGCTGCGGTCGCCGCGCCGGCTTCTGCCGCCCCGGCCTTGCCGCCTCCCGCGCCGCTGCCGACGCCGCCCGGAGCTCCGGTTCCGCAGCGCCGCGCGGGGGCGGGGCGTCTCTGCGGCAACCAGAGCGTCACACGCAGCGGTGCGCGCTGACCTCAGCGCGAAGGCGGAGCCTTCTCGGGCCCGCCCCCTCCATCCTTAAGTGGGCCGTGGCGTCTGCGTCCTCTTCCGAGGTGGGCCCCCAGCGGGGGTCAAGAACTCCCCGCCGCCCGCCCAGGGCAGTAGGCGAAGCGGACATCAAGGTGTCGCGTGGGGACCTAGGTGTGATTGTTTTGCACCTGTACGTTTGGCCCCCCTCAGCGGGGTGGGTTGAGATCAAGGAAACAGTTGTGCCAAGAAAATATTAAAAATAGCCAAATTTACATGCAACTGCTGTTCTAAGTGCTTGACTCCTCACAACAACTCTACCGGAAAAAGTTACCATTACTGTCCGCATTTACAGGTGAGGAGGAGGAGGAGGAGGCAGAGGCTAAAGGAATTGCTCAAAAGTGAATGAATGACTTGTTCAAGTCCATAGAGAGCATGTGATGGAGATTTTCACCTAATAGTCTTAGTGTGATGTCATTCATCCAATAAGTGTTTGCAGAGTACCTGCTGTGTACCAAAACCTGTGCTTTTTTTGAGAGAATGAACCGAGCAGAAATGAGAAAAGGCCCGTGAATAGTGAAACACAAGCTTGATGGGATTACACTGGAGGTATAGTCCTCAAAATTTTCCTGGAAGAAGAGGGTTTGTTTGATTTTTTTCACTTTGTTTTTAAGATTTTTTTTTATAAAGGAATCCCCACACCCAACGTGGGGCTCAAACTCACGACCCTGAGATCAAGAGGCACATGCTCTATGGAATGAACCAGCCAGGCACTCCCTGGAAGAGGAAGTTCTAAGCTGAGGTCTGCAGAGAGCTTGGAAAGGGAGGGTTTACCAGGCAGAGTGCGGAGAGGGTTGGGGGCAGATAATGCAGTTCCTGACAGGTGATAATAAGTTGTTTGGAGTCCATCCTAAGGGGGCTGGGGTCTTTTAGGGGTTTTAAGCAGGTTTGGTGTTTGGAGGCTCACTCTGAGCGGTGGGTGGAAAGGGGATGGCGGGGGCCAGAGCAGAGGCAGGGTGACCAGTAAGGAGGCCTCTGCAGAAGTCCAGGTGAAGATGACAGTGATGGGAAAGGGCAGTGGAGGGAAGCAGCTCAAGAGGTAATATCAGCAAGGCTTGTTGACTAATTGGCTGAGGGAGAAAGGAAGAAAACCACCCAGGTTTCTGGCCTGGGAGCCTGGGTGGGCAGTACTGTCTTCAGAAGAATACCAGAAAGGTAGATTTGCACAGCAGAAGATAATGACTCCACGGTTGGACTTGAGGGACAGCCAGGTGATGGTGGGTGGGCTGCCACTGTACGGATTTGGGAAGGGAGGGTGGAGTAGGTGGCATATTGCTGTCAAGCCATGACTCGTACCCCAGGACAGCTCTGAGTATTGCCCATGTTGGCCACTCGTTCATCAAATCCTAAAGTAGGTGCGTGGATTGCCCCAGAAATCCAAGCCCCTTGAAGGAAGGCCAAGAGAAGAAATATTACCACCCAAAGTCCAAGTTGAACTGGACCCTGATCCCCTGACCCTTCAGTAGAGGGCTTTTTCTCCTACATAATAGCAGTGAATAGTTGTTTAACAATCGCCATGTGCTAGTTCTCTCCAGAAAGTAACCGAACCATGCCCTCTGGGAGCCTGAAGTCTAGTTGGGACAACTAGTGAATTCACTCAGTAAATACTGATTGAGCTCCTGGCCCTGTCCTGGGCCTTTTTCTCAGCACTTGGGACACGGGGGGTGACCTAGAAAAACCAGGACCTTCCCTTGTTCAGAGTGAGGGAGTGGAGTATAAACAAACACAGAAATAACTTCAAGTAGTGATAAATGTTCCGGAGAGGCTGAACATGGTGACTGTGGGCAGTGGCAGGTGACATTAATGGGGTGGTCAGGGAAGGCGCTTAGAGGAGGCGAGGTTTACACTGAGCCCTCCATGATGAGAGGAATTATTGCTAAGCAGACTCTTAGTTAACAAAAGCTGAGACAAAGGGGCTTGGAGGGCTGTGCTGGGCTCTGGGGAAAGTAAGAAGCAAAACAATAATCGAAATGCCTGAGAAACAGCCCCTGCTCTTGAGTCGCTCACAGGGAGGAGGACTTGCAGTTTTGGAGAACTGTAACTCGTGACACAAGGTAGCTTGTGACAAAGGGGAACATGTGTGACACAAAGAACAGGTCCAAGGAGAGGCCTCTCTGGGCTGCAGAGGCGTGGGAAGCATCCTGGGACAACAGGCACTTGAGCCACATTGGAAGAGGAAATGGCATCTCCAGAGGGAAACTATGACATGCAAAGGTGCAGAGGCAGAATGCTACGAGGGCCTCTGGTTAGCATTCGAGTGTGTTCTGCGTGGGCACACAGGTGGGACTGAGTGCCAAGCTAGAGAACTGTATCTCTGTTCCGGGGACAGGGGCCAGCCACCCAGGGCCTTAAGGAACCCCCAGTCCTTGTCACCCAGATCCAACGGTTAGAGAGATTTTGCCGCTCATGCTTTATCTCTTTTCTGGAACATTTTATTTTAAATGTTTACGTATTTTTTAGAGAGATTGCGCACGCACGTGAGCGGGGGAGGAGCAGAGGGGAAGGAGGGGACAGAGGATCCGAAGCAGGCTCTGCACTGTCAGCACAGAGCCTGATGCGGGGCTCGAACTAAAGTCACAAACCGTGAGATCACAACCTGAGCTGAAGTCAGACGCTTAACAAACTAAGCCACCCAGTCACCCCTTTTCTGAAACATTTTAAAGCAGATCTCAGACATCATACCACCTCACCCCTCGATGTTTTGGTATGCATTCTAGGAATAGGAATATTTTCTCGAAAACCCATGCCATTGTCATACTTAAAAAATTAATAATTTCTGGGGCGCCTGGGTGGCGCAGTCGGTTAAGCGT